TTTTTTTTTTAGCAAAATCCTGCTTTTTTTTTTTTTTTTTAAATCACAGTAGCTTTCTGGTATAATTTCAAATCTGTTTCTTTTTTTTGGGGGGGTTTGGTTTTTTTCCGGTACCAGGAGTGGAACTCATGACCTTGCGCTTGCCGGGCAGACACTGTGCCACTGAGCTAAATCCCCAAGCCCAGCTAAATCCCCAAGCCCTAATTTCAAATTTGGAATGTGATACTCCCTGCCTTGCCTTTGTTTCCCAGAATTGCCTTTGCTATTCTAGGTCTCTTGTAGAATTAACTTAAGGATGGTTAGATTAATTTAAGGATTCTTTTCTATTTCTGTAAGGTATGCTTTTGATATTTTGATAGGGATTGCATTAAATCTGTATAACAATTTTGGGAGTATGGCTATTTTCACTATGTTGGTTCTTCCTACACAATAAGAAGGGATACCTTTCAATTTCCTGATTTCCTCTTCAGTCTCCTTTTTTAGAGTACTGTAGTTTCATGTGTTTAAATCTTTCAGTTCCATTGTTAGATTGATTCCTAAGTATTTCATTTTTATTGATGCTGTTATAAAAGGTGTGGTTTTTCTAATTTCTCTCTCCATGTCTTTGTTATTTGTGTACAGGAATGCTACTGATTTTTGAGTATTAACTTTGTACTGAGCTACAGTACAGGATTTGGTTATTAAATCTAGAAGTCTTTTGGGGGAGTTTTTGGGGTCTTCTATGTAGAGTATCATGTCACCTACAAATAATGATAATTTAAATTTTCCTTTCCTGTCCTTATTCCTTTTATTTCTTTTTCTTATCTTGTTGCTCTAGCTAATGTTTCCAGAACTATATTGAATAAGAGTGTTCACAGTAGACATCCTTTTCTTGTTCCTGATTTTAAAGTGAAAGCTTTCAGTTTTTGACCATTTAGCATGATATTTGCTCTTGGTTTGTCATAGATGGCTTTTATCAGATTGAGATAAAGACCATCTATTCCAATTTTCTGTAGGGTTTTTATCATGAATGTGTGTTGGCCTTTGTCAAATGCCTTTTCTGGATCTTTTGAGATGAACTTATGGTTTCTCTCCTTCTCTTTGTTAATATGGTGTATTCCACTTATTGATTTGCATATATTAAACCATTACTGCATCCCTGGGATGAATCCTACTTGATCATAGTGTTAATCTTCATTATTTTTCTGAATTATCTTTGCCAGTATCTTATTGAGAACTTTTATATCTGTGCTCATTAGGGAGATTGGCCTGTAGCTCTCTTTTTTGGTTGAAGGCTTCTTTGGTTTTGGTATCAGGATAATGCTTGCTTCCAGGAATGAGTTTGGGAGTATTACTTCAGTTTCAATTTCATTAGAGTTTGAGAAGTAGTGGTATTAGATATTCTGTAAAGTTCTCGTAGAATTCAGTAATGAGTCCATCAGAACCTAGCCTTTTGTTTGTTGTTGTGTTTTTAATTATATTTTCAATTTCATTTGACTGATACTGGGTTATTTAGAATCTTTGCATCTTCTTTATTTAGCTTTGGTAATTCCTATGTATGCAGAAATCTGTGTATTTCTTCTATGTTTTGTATCTTATTAGTACAGAGGTTCTCAAAGTAGCTATTTATAATAATTTTCTGCATAATTCATTGTGATTGCATCCATTTCATTCCTAATTGCATGGTTTTGTGTCTTTTATTTCTTTCTTTTTTTGATAAGGTCGGCTATTGGCTTACCTATTTTATTTAATCTTTCAAGGAACCAACTCTTAAATTCTTCAATTCTTTGTATTGTTTTCTTAGTCTCAATTGCACTAATTTCTGCTCTAATATTAACAGTTTCCTCCCTCATGTAAGGTTTGGGCTTGACTTATTCTTCCTTTTCTAGAAGCTTGAGTTTGAACATTAGGTTATTTACTTGTACTCATTCTGTTTTTCTGGTGTGGGAATTTACTACTATAAATTTCCCTTGTAGAACTGCTTTCATTGTATTCCATAAGTTCCAGTATGTTTATTGGCATTGTTATTTAATTATAGAAACTGTCTGATTTCTTTTTTAATTTCATTTGTGACCCATTGGTTGTTTAGGAGGGTGTTATTTAAATTCCCTGTTTATGCAGTTTTTGTGGTTTCTTTTGTCTTTTCTTTCCCATTTCATTGCATTATGATCTGATAATATGCATGAGATAATTTTAACTGCTTTACATTTACTTAAGCATGTTCTGTGAATTAGTATGTGATCTCCTTTGGGGATATCCATTGTGCAATTGAGAAGAATATGTGTTGAAGAATATGTGTTCTGATATTGCAGTATGGAATACTCTGTAGACATCTACTAAGTCCATTTGTTCAAAAGTTTGGATCAGCTCTAATGTTTCATTGTTGATTTCTTGTCTAGTTGATCTATTTGTGACAGTGGGATGCTGAGGTCCCCCACTACAGTTGTATTAGTGCTTATTTGATTTTTCAAGTCCATTAATGTTTGTTTTATATAGTTGGCTATGCTTATATTTGGTGCATATATATTTATGATTGTTATCTCCTCCTCATGGATTGTTCCCTTAACAAGTTTGTAGTTACTTTCTTTACCTCTTTGAGACCTGAGTCTTTCAGCCTGCAACCCTCCGAGTGCCTCCCACTGGTTTGAGCTCAACTTTCTGATCTCCTGCCTGCTTGTGCTCAATTGCACCAGAACCACTAGATGGAGCCAATTAGCAGCTGCTCTGACTTCTGACTTCCATTGGCCCCTTTTCAAGATGGCTACTGGCCCATTGCCCTCACCTGGGGTGCACCTGACCCCAAATAACTCACCAGCCACTGTAGTAGGCAATGTCCACTGTTCTGTTCTACTGGTGCATTTCTCTATGGAGGCCTCTCAGGTCACCAATAGTCGACATGCCTCTGCAAGTTCTAGCTGCCCCTCCCACACCTGGAGCCCAGACTCAGGGAGAAAGTACAGCTTGACCTCTCCATCTTCTGCACTGTGGTCCCTCTCTTTGCTCTCCCTGTGGGCTCTAATTCTTACTTCAGATCCTTGCAGGGTCCTTGAGATCCACTTGCCTCCTCCTTTTCTTCCTCATGTTGCTATATTCCAGCATCTGTATTCCAAATATCATGGGAGAAGCTGTTTCTCTCTTGAGTGTGTTCTTTAACCTTTCCTAGTCCTTATTTTCCTCATCTATAAAATGGATATAATCATAGCACCTACTTTCCCACGTTGCCATGAGATTTAAATGAGTTAAAACGTACAGATCACTTGAAATGATAGAAAGTTTGCTGTTATTATTACTAATTACTTCTTCCCTCTGAGCCACATTACCATATACCTTTGGTTTATGCACTTATCCCACTGAATTGAAAATTTTGTATGTGACACTTTCCTTGACAAGACTTTTAGCTTCTTAGAAATTTGGATTATTTTGTATTCATCTTTGGATCCCTAATACCTGGCACAATGCCAGACAGAATTTTGGGTTTCTTTTTACCAGCCAGTATATTTTCACCAAATGGAGAAACTCATTTGAGCATCACATTGCGATTTGAATAATGTAATCATTTCTTCATACGGGATCATTGTAAGGAACAAATGTTCAAGGATAGGTGCAAAAATACTTCAGAAATTCCATGGATCTATCAAATTGTAAGGGATGCATGGTAGCTCTCAGAGTAGGTCTATTTCAGATCTTTGCAGGACTGGTTTGCCCTTCCTTTCACTTTTGGAGGCTGATTGGAGACCTTGCTAGATGCCTCAGCTTGTACTTTTGTATGTTTTCTATTGAATTACTAGCAACTTGGACTCCCTTTATAAAGCTTCAGGTTAAGAAAAATCACATTAAGCTGTTGGGTTCCCAAATTTCTGCCATGCTGCCTATGGAACTAGGAATCAAGGTCTGACTACTCCCTCTCCGAAGGAACTTACCGTTTTCCATAATTTCAGGAATCTCTCTGAACCTGTCATGACCTACAGGCTTCATAAAGAGCTGGTCTCAGCTGCCAGTAAGTATTTATATAACTATTTAATTGTGCTGTCCTGGTTTCTTCTTAACGTTTACATCAATAAGCCCAGAAAACTGCTTAAGGCCTAAACACCAAAAACATACACTTATTTTGCCCACTCCCATGTTAGAGTATCCCTGTATGCTAACTCAAGAGTTGTGTGATTTTTCATAAATCAGTGTTAGTTGAATAGGTTGGAAAAAATTGGCTACCTTGAGAGGTGTGACAGATATAAAGACTTTTATTTATTTAGCACCTCTTCCGTCAGAACAAGAAAACTAGCTTACATTACCAAGGGACAGCAAAACAGTAGCACTATAGCGCTCTTTCAGCTTCTTTCAATACTTTGCCTGTGTTCAAGTTATTTTCAGTTGTGTTATAAAACATTGTACCTAGTCTTTTAGCATTAGCTTCTAGTTTTCTAGATAAAAAGACTGAGGGAGAGGACTGAAGGGTACATGGGAAATAGGGCATACAGAATCACCTCCAGGGTTGGCAGTTGAAGATCCGCTAAGAGTTTTGGCTGAGTCCACTATATATGACTGTCTCTCACCAGGACACACTCTTATCTTGCATTGTTCCCTGTGTGGAGGGCAGGATAAGGATTCAGAGATCTTGACCTACTAATGGGTCTTTGTTGAGACAGGGAAGTTTGCTCTGCACTTCTGGGTCTTCTGGTAATTTTCCTAGGAACCCAGGGGCAGCAGCATCTCACTGATTACCCCAAGATAGGTGGACAGGAAAGGGTTTCCAACGTGAAGTTTATGTGTGGGACTATAAGTGCAACCTGCTGTGAGTAGAACTCCGTGTGCCTCTGAGACAGTCTTGTATTCTCTTCTAGCTTCTATTTTTGCCATCCCTCTAAGTTTCTTTGTCTCTTTCTCTGTAGCTTTTGTTCTCTCCCTCTCTCTGTGCTTACTTATCTCTCTATCTCTCTTTGTCTTTGACTCTGTATCTCTGGTTGTCTTTTTCTGCGTCTATGCCTCTGTGTGTCTGTTTATGTGGATGTGTATATACAGGAAGGTTTTCTCAGTCCATTTGTCCAGAAAGCCAAACCATTTCTCACACTATTTCCTTTGACAGAATCAGACAACCTGGATTACAGGCTGGGAGCTATTCATTCCCTTGTATACAAGCTACCAGAAAAGAACCGTGAGATGCTGGAACTTCTGATAAGACACTTGGTCAAGTAAGTAACTGCTGGGTTTTCAGAAAGAGTTCTGTCAGAGTAGTAGCCCACCTGACTGGATCGCAGAGAACCTGCTCATGAGTCCCAGTTTGTGTAATCCTTACTCCCAGCTGCTTGCTGGACAGACTGAGTACTCTACAGAAGGTGAATGTGTATTGACCTTCGTATGTATCCTGTCAGAGTCATCGTGTAGCTGACTTGTCTGTCAGAGGGTAGCACTAAGGTAGAGTACAGTGGGTACAGGCTTTGCTGTTAGACAAAGCAGGTTTTGAGTGGCAGCTGTGTAACTACTTTAGCTATATAATCATAGACAATCCACTCTGAACCTATTTGGTAATCTGTACAATGAGAAGAGTAAAGCTGAACTTGCAGGACTGTTAATGTGGATGACAAAGAACCTGAGAACAGTACAAACACATAGGAACATCTCAAGATTTTAAGAGTATTTGCCTTACTCTGGTGCAGCAGTGTAGTAACAGCAGCTTTGCAGACAGTGGGCTTCATGATAGGCTATGAGATAGGTTTGTGGAATGGACACATATGCTCCACAGTGGTGCTTCCTAGCCAGAGGATTCAGTGTGTGAATAAAGATAAACTTACTTGGCTCAAAAACATGCCGAAAGCACTCTTGCCAGGAGTTAGCAAACCTTGGTTCTAGCGGTCCCACTTTTAGGCATCAAATGTAAAGATAAACCTGCACAAATATGCACAAGGTTTGCAATTGCACCAGAATTTTAATAAGAAAAGATTGGAAATAATATCAGTTCCAGCAGCAAAGACTTATTGACTAAGTAAAGGTATAGTGAACTATGTATTATGCAATCATAATAAAACAGAATGAGAAAGATATCAGAGAACTTGTTTTTGTAGTAATTTCTAGAGTGCATTACAGACTTCAGGGTATAAGACAAAAATCAGCAAAAAACACATGGTTTAAACCAGGGTACATAATATGCTAATTTTCTTGTGAGGAAAATAAGACTGAACATACACATTGTATTAATCTCCTCAAATGAAATCCAGTCAGATAAATTTTTAAAATCCTCATGATTTATTTTATTATATTTCTCAAATGAAGTCCAGCAAGATAAATTTTAAAAATACTCACAACTGCAAAGCTTAAATGCAGTCACTACATTGCTCAGAAATTCTATTCCTAAGTATATACTCAAAACAAACATAAACATATGTCCATACAAAAACTTGTATATAAATGGTCATAGCAACATTATTCATAGCTATACAAAGGTGGAAATAATCAAATGTCCATTAATAGATGAATGGATAGACAAAATAACAATACAGTGGAATATTATTTGGCCATTAAAAGGAATGAAGTCCTGATACATGCTACACTATGGGCAAATCTTGGAAACATTATGCTAAGTAAAAGAAATCCAATATAAAAGTCCATAGATGACTCTGTTTATATAAAATGCTAAATCTATAGGGATAGAAAGTAAATTAGTTGTTGCCAACAACCAAGAAGTAGTGGTATGAGAAGGGATAGAGTTTGACTGGTAATAGATGTGGAATTTCTTTTTGGAGTAATGATAACTTCTTGAATCTTGATAGCTGCACCATCATGTGAATATATTAAAAATGTTAATTTCCCTTTTATAAATTGAATTTATATCATTTGAAATATATCACAATAAAGTTAAAATATAAACTAATGAAAATGTTTATATAGGGAGGAGTGTTAAATAATGTGGCGAGTATAAGGATAAGAACTAGGTTCCACTAACATTTACTATTTATATAGTTTTGACTTTTAAACCATATTAATAATTTAATGTCCAAAAATAACACTGTCAAAAATAAATATTATCATCTTAAAACTGAACACCAAAAGAGCAAATGAATTCACATGTTTATCAATTTGGTATAATAGTGACACAAAAAAGCAGTTATTTCAACTAATTTGTTAACAGTGTCCTTTGACTTATGCTTAATGTGATATACTTTAAAACCAAGAAGAGCTGCAAAGAGCTCTTAAGCATTATTCAGTAGGTTTATTGGGAGTGATATAATTATGATTTAAAATGCACACACATACATATCTCACAAGGATAGAACAGTAAATACATTAATGTTATCAGAACCAAAATTTGTGATATAAAAAGATATATGGATACAAAATTAAAGATGCAAAGAAATTTTATGTAACATTAAAGTTAAATTGAGAATGTTGATATGAATTCATTATTTTAAAATAAGAAGGAAAATCATCTATTCACTAAACCTATGTTGAAATGACTTCACCCAAAAAGCAATGAATATACCTAGTGCCCAGTTCCTGTTTCAAATAGCACTCCCTTTTCATTGGAGCTAGAGATGCTTCAAGAAATGGCCAATTCCAGGTGTGAGGTCAAAAATATGCGAGTTGAGCCTTGGATAAATTGGGCCACATAGCAAGGTGGAATAAATATACTAATAGGGTTATATTTAAAAGGATATAAGAACCTACCTGCTTGAAAGGGCTGATGCTAATGACATTTGGGGCAACCTCAACACCAGGATTTGATTGTAATGCAATGAGTAAAGAATACCTCCTGGTGTTTGGTAAAGAAAGGGTAACTCTTTATTATAGAAGAACACCAGTCAATCAATGTAGGAGGAATGATAGAATCATCTCTAGCCTGCAACTTCACTCTCCTGTTTTATGCAGTCATCAAAACCATTAGGTAAAAGAGTATTGAGGAACAGGGCATTTACATAATTTCATTGTATTGCTTATAGATTTCTTACTAATTAAAATGAAATAAAAACTGTTTTGCACTAAAGCAGTGTGAGAGCTAGACACTACCTTAAGTAGTTAATGAAAGTTAGCATCACTAATACTGGTACATACTGACCTTATATGCCATCCAAGTCAATACAGCAAGAAGTATAGGGCATAGTCTATGCAGTGCTTTTGCCAAAAATGTTGAATCTGATTCAAATTAAACCCATCAGGTACACAGAAAATAAAAGGTATAGAAAAATAGAGAATATTTGATAAGACAACTGGCTTGGACTTATCAAAAACATGTAAGGGTTCTGTTTTCTACTGAGACTAAAGAAACAAATGCACTGTATGAATTTTGACTGCATCTATATTGGAATAACTTGTCTATGAAAGACTTTCAGTGACATTTGAGAAAATTTGTATGTAAGCTAGATGATATAGAATTACACTGGACATTTTAAAGATGTAAATATGTTACTGTGGTTTTATAGTAAGATTTGCTTGTTCATTGAAAATGCATTGTAAAATATTTTAAGGTTAAAACAATCTACTTTTAAAAGTGTCAGCAAAGATATACAGAGAGAGAAGGAAAATGGGGCCAGGTTTTAAGTCTTAAATCTAGATATCGGCTGAGTGTTCCTAGCACCAATCTTTTAGCATTTTTATACGTTTGAAGAATCTTTATAACTAAAAATTGTATGGAAAATGGAAATTTAAATACAAGTTTAGTTTAGGAAATTTATACAGAAGAAAATTCATGTGCTTTAAAAATGCACATAATTATCCTGTCTGCCAGATGCTGTTCTCATAATCTATTTGATGATTCTGTCTATGCCTTTGCAACATGTTCCCGCTGCTAGCCTCTTTCTTGGGTAATATCAGGCAGAAACAAACTAACCTCAGCCATTTTAGGGTTCCCAATTATCCACTTCTTTTTGATGCCTGAAGTTTCTATTAGTCAGAGATAGGAGGCCACTATGCTTCCCCTCCCCAGCAATCTCACTACTAGTGGAGTATTATAATGGAAGCAAGCCTCTGGCCTAATTCTGTCATTCAGACATGTGTTTGCCAATGAACAGATGCAGAAAGAGTTATGTAACATGTTCTATAAATTCAGTGAAGTCCCGTCTCTCTTTTCTCTCACATGTTCTGACAGCATCTGTTACAACAGTTTCACTTGAGGCAGACGAGACAATATTATAGTGACAAAATTGGAACCAAGAGGTACAACCCTATGATCTAGTGTGCAAACACAAGACTGTGCAGTCTCAGGCCTGGATTACCATTGTAAAGGTCACAGGTTTTAGGATTAGTGGAACTTTCTCTTTTTTGTAATAATACTTCTTGTTATTTTGGAAGCAGTGTGGAACATTATACAAATTTGAAAATACAGGAAAAAACGTAAAAGCTTTCCATTCCCAGCATGATAATATAATACATATTCTTTTGAATTTCTCTCCCTCCCTCCCTTCTCTCTCTTTCTCTGTGTTTATCTATCTATACATATGTATGTTTTTTACCAAGACAAAATTATCATATTCTTTAGATTACCTGTTTTCAGATCAACACTCTCTACCTTTCTGGACCATATTAACATTTTCTTAATGAACCAAAAATACCCTTCATTTATACTTGCATAAACTAGTATTCAACATAGGACTATACATTGTATGTACTTCTTATATATATCCTTTTCATCTCTTAAATCTAGTACAGTTCCCCACTTTTTATGACACTGGTTTATTGACAAGGCCGGTTGTCCTACAGATTGTAGCTTACTATTTTATTGCAATCTTCATTGTATTATTTTTTGGATTTTCCCCCTATTGCCTGTATTTTTTGTAAAGCAGAGGTTATATCTAAAGGCTAAATAGATTCCTCATATATTTTTTGGTAGAACAAATCACAGGTGATATGTATATTAAGTTATATCACATCTGAAGATGCAAAATACTAGTTTGTCTACCTTACTGATGTTAAAATTGACCATTGCTATACTCTTCTGCCCTGTGTATGCAGAGCTGGATTGTCTGTACAGTATTTCTATCAAACCTGTATAGCTTAAACACATCCAGGCAATGAAAAAAATCATTTTTACCACCTATCATGTAATTAACAAAGGCTTCAGTGTTAATTGGATGTGAAATTAGTTATAGCTTATAGCAGTCCTTTTGGTTTCTACTTAGTGTTTAAAATATTAATTCATCCTTAGAGTATATATGTATTTATAATTAGAATATTACAGTAAAAACTAAGCCACCCCGGAGTA